AATAAATCCAAGAATCATCAGTTTTGTGCAACCTCAGCACCTTACTAGTCTAAGATAAGACTTGACTCCTTTAATACATTACTTTCATATATTTTCATAATCACCTTATATCAAAAATGTACATTACATACATTATCTATACAAAATTCCATAATATGATGACAGGTCTACTAATTACTATAAGAATAATTCATAAATTACTAGATCAAACGCATAAATATTTCAACATTCAATGAGAATCAAAACGTGATAACCAGTCAGTTCAAGTGAAATATCTTTGAAGAATGGAGAGAATATATTTACTAACCACTAGAGATCAGAGATTTAGTCAAATGAAATAGGGTTTCTGGGTGATGGTTTTTTTAAAGCATATAACCAAAGGTCATAGAAAGAGGTAAATCTAGTAAGTAGTGACAAGATAAGAATGGAATGAAAGATTCTTGTAAATTTTTAAATGATAACAGTATATTGGATTGAATGATGGAAGAGATAAGTATTCATCCGGTCTATTGACAAATATCTGTAAGAGTCAAAATGGAACTTATATCATAATGGCTCTAACGAGACGAGACGAAACGCAATACGCACAGTACGCACATATGGTCAATGAGAAACTAATCAGTTGCAGTACTAATTGTCAATGTGTAGATTCAAACAAACAATACTAAGTGGATTTAAACTTCACATCAATGCATAAGCGAGTGGCTATCAGGACTCAGTAGCTGAGTGGATAACGCTATGGCGTTTGAAGTGAAAGATACTAGGTTCGAGTCCCAGAGTGAACAACAAAACTGATATGCAGCTGTATCTAGCCGAAGAGTCCCAACTAGGACGAAACGCGCATCTGAGATTCCACTGCTAGCGATTATCCACCTTCGCTTATGATGCTTGTAGTTAAAGGTTATCTCGAGGCAATACGCACAGTATGCACATATGGTCAATAAGAGACTGATCAATTGCAGTTCTAAACATCAATGGAAAGATTCGAGTGAACAATACCAACTGAATTTCACTATCGATTGTCTATCCTAATTATCTTCATATAATCATTTGATTGATATTTAGTTGTTACTCGATAATTATAATCTAGTCCGTTTCAATTTTCACTTTTCACTTATGAAATCAG